TCGCTATTTTGTGCTTTAGGCAAACAGCACTCACCTTCTCTTTGAAGCAGTGCTCCTTGTCGTATTCGAACCCTTCGTGCAGAAGTTTGGACCCCTCCACGTTTACTTCGCAAGTAGACCGTCATCTTAAAGCTACCACCTCGACTCAACCAACATCAAATGAAAAAGGACGATGACATGCAGATGCCGCGCTTTTATCCTCGTTTTTGGACCGTAGTTAGCGCTGTACAAGCGTTCCCGGGGCACCAGTAGGTTTTGCTTCTAATCGGATGTTGTAGATAACAAAGTCTGTGGTTTGGGGTTGGTTTGAGGTTCTTGGAAGGGAACAAAAGATTCTGTTCCGAGTGTACTTTTCGTTTATGGCTTTAGTGCTATTTCTAAAGGTTTTTGTGAAGGCTACTTTTTCTAAGCGGACCTTGTAGATAACAAAGTGTGTAGTTTGGGGGTGGTATGAGGTACTTAGAAGTGAACAAAAGATTTGTGCTTATCATACTGTTTCTGTAACTGCATAATGTTCGGAAAAACAAACGAGGTAGCTGTGTTCGACACGTCACTGTTTTCGTACCTTATCTTCACGGCTTTAATTTCAAACCACTCTATATTACACTAGTCTCGGGTAGTTTAGGAAAATGATCCTCATTGTCCTTTGTTTGTCCCCGTTGCCCTTCTTTTTTGTTTCCTAGTTTCATTCTTAGAAGAGTTTTGCCCTTTTGTGTCCCCTAGCGTAAGGGTTCAGAGTTGCTAATGGCTTGAAAGGATTTTGACCAATTCACTGTTGGTGCCTTGAAAAAGGTGTGCACGCTTCGTTTAGGTGTTATAAAGATATGTTTCAGAAAAGACCGTGCACCGAAAAGTCCTTGCACCGAAATGTCCGTGCACCAAAAAGTCCGCACCGAAAAGTCCTACAACTAAAAGTCCTACACCGAAATGTCCTAGACCCAGGTAATGTGAGGGCTGGAAAAAAAATTTTAAAGGAGCTTGGCTTGCTTCCCTCCCCTATATCCCCCCCCCCCCCTTCTTCTATAGGCACTCAGCAATGGTGGACAAACCACGACGTTCGTCATGTTTCTGTACGTGCAAATGGTAGGCTTTGTGAATTTTGCTTTTGGTGCTGTTTGATTGATGACATCAGCTCATAGCGTCCCGAATTAAGGGAAAACGAAAAATAGGATAAAATCATAGAAACAAATCGTACGGGTGCAGACGAGCTGGTGAATATTAACCATGGAATTAACCTGAGACTGGGGTAGAGAAGAAACATCAAAACATAGAAGGGACAGAAAATAGACAAGACGACGTCTCAAACTCAGCTAACGCATTTATTTAGTCCACCTCCTGATATAGTCTCGATCTCAAGGTCATCTCCACCAACACAAAAAGACGAAGTTATACAAATCAAGCGCCACAGCCTCCATCACAGAATGCAATAACGTTGACAACGTTTACAGGTCGACGCGGTAAGGCAACATCCATCCACCCTCAAACTTGAACAAAAGGAACTATTCCCCTACTATTCTATACACAGTTCATACTTTCGAATCATAACACGCCCTCTCTACAAAAAAAAAAAGACTGAAACGATAGTTGGGCCAAAACACGTTGAGACCCACACAAAGCAAAAAGCAAAAAAAAAGGGTTTTACAGGTTTTTGGAAAATCACAAGCACTTAAAACAACCTAATTTACAGATAAAAAAATGATATCTTTAGAAAGCTTTTTGAATTGCTTCCAAACTGTAGTGAAGCCTGACTTATGGAGTTGCCTGGAGCCTTTATCCGCACGGTCTCCCTTACTACTGTCCTTACATCGTTCCTCTCTTTGTGTATTATTTCCGTCTCCAACCAGAGCGCCGTGCAGTTGTTACATTCATGAATATGTTTTGCTATTTCGGAGTTTTGTGCATTGTTCTTTTCATTTCTTTTATGTTCGTTTAATCTGTCATTTATGCAGCGTGACGTCTGTCCTACATACTTAAATCCACACTTTAATGGTATCTCATACACAAAACCAGTCTAGCAACATACTGATTTTTCCCGATGACCCTTTTTGCACTCGCTTTCAGATTAAGTGAACTGACGCCATTTCAAACAGGTGTTTGAAATGGCCTCTAGCTTCGAACCAAGGAGGCCCCGACTGGGAAGGCGCAGCGGCGAACAAGCCCGTGAACGCCAGGTCAGCCCAACTCTGGTCGCAGTGCACTCTTCGCGATGTGGTTGCCGGTAATCGAGGCATGCGATGCTATGTTATTATGCGGATTAAACAGTATTCCAAGCATAGCAGTAGGACTAATACCTTAAACAGCTCACGAAAAGCAGGAATTGGCCAGCTGGGCTGAATATCACTTTGGCGAATACTCTTGCGTTAGAATACTGGCAGCGAAAATCAAAAGCCGCAGTATTGTCGGTGAACCTTTCACTTCTCCTTCAATCGAGCCCAAAACATTGCATTCGTTCGCTCCGTTAGTTATGCCTCTACGCCGAATATTTGGGGAGTTTTCGTTGATTATCTGTTTTTCTCTAGTCCTTTCTACGCATTGGAGATGCCGTGATTGCGCAAGGGCTCTTTTAGCATTATATGCAGTGTCCTGTATCATTGTAACGCGTTCCTAAGAAAGCACGGGACGGCATAAATAATGAAAGAAAGTACCCCATTATTTGGATACCCTGTCATAAGGAGCGGCATCACGTATGTACTCATTTCTTAAAACAAGGAAGTAACCAATCCAAGTTTCTCCCCACAATTCAGTATTGGTTGTAAGATGAATCCCGTAGCTTCCTGGTATTAAACCATCGCTCTACAGTTTATTACTTTGCTCATTCACTTAGTTCAGCATAGACCCCTTCGTTCCTTGTTTACCAGATGATTTCTTAATCGCCAACTTCCCATACGCACCACTCTCATCTAGAACGCGAGGGATCCCCGATAGTGCACTTTCAATAAACACGATGCAAGATAGATTCGGTTAACAACGACCAATATGAATTACGGTACACCGTCCATTTGTCACATGCGCACTCGTCACAGGACGATTGGTCACAGGACGATTCGTCACACAGAAACAATCGCCAAAGGATGACTCGTCACGCGGCCAACCGGTCCTACAATAGTTCGTCTCCCCAAAATGTATTGTTCAATTTGGTTCGGGCGGACAACGTGCCTCACCTCATATCTTAGTATGTCTTTGGCTTCTGAAAGGCGAAGAATTTGTACCAAACGTTTTAGCTTCTGGCTCGGTCCCGAGCGTTGAATTTTGATTCGGCCTGACAAAGTGGGTCACCTCTTCTCTTAGCACGTCTTTCGCTTCTCAAGGTCGAAGAATTTGTAGCAGACGTTTTAACTTCTGTGTCCGTCCCAAACGGTGAATGGGGAGGCCATATAAAAGCGACTATTTTCGAACTTGGGCTACATTCAAAAGGATGGAGGTGATCGCCACAGAGAGAGAGGTAGAGCCATGATGCTGCAGAAAGAATTCCGATACTTATTGGTTTTCTCGAAGAAGTGTATGCAAGGCAAAGTAAAAACTTATTTCGCTGCCAGTCGGGTTATTGCTCGTTCAAGCCAGCAACTTAGGTCAACCTGCTGAAGAGTCGTAATATGATGAAAGGAAAAGCGGATGAGTATCTTTAGTTTTTCTAACTATTGGTTTATGTCACATTGGGAAGTCGTGAAACTCCTTATCAGGGACTGTGGGCGGTTGTTGAGATTTACAGTTTACTATCGTCCCCTGCCCGATCGATGTGACCAGTTGCCCGCATGACGAGTCATCCTGTGACGAATGTTCCTGTGTGACGAATCGTCCTGTGACGAGTGCGCATGTGACGAATCGTCCTCATCCCATGAATTACTTCGCGCTACAAAACCTATTTAACTAACAAAGTGTCAATGTCAAATTTCCCTCCTCGGCCCCCCATTCTTCAAAATACACAACTAGTGGAGGATCGGAACAGAAACAATTAGGTTGGGTCACTGACCCCAATTTGGAGTCGACTCATTGGTACCTACATCGCCGTACCGCTGTGTTTTCTTTGGACCAAAGCGGGCTGCCAGGAATCTGGGACACGAGGCATCTGTGCAAGAAATTGAGTTTGAGCCCGAGCGGCTGTAATGACAAGCCTAACTGCCGGCCGCCGGGTGACAAGACCGGCATTCCGATGCAGGGTACATCTCCCTCCTGTCCGAGAGCTAAGTGGCTGAGTTTGGCGGGGGAAGGGACGGGAGACCGGGGACGGGGTGGGGGGAGGGGGGGAATGAGGTAATGAGTTTATCAAAGGAGCGCTCATCTCGCTAGGTTGGACTTGAAAGGGAGGACTAGGAACGGAACAATGTGAACAGAACGGAACACACTAATTCAATATAATTCGATGGGTTTACACATGTACTCATCAAAGTAGGCGAACTAATATAAGCTGTAGAAGGAGGTGGAACTGCAGTAATAGGTACTAATATTGGTATGTTTTGTGATTTTTAGTTATGTGTGCAATAAAAATGCAGAGGCTCCTGTCGCGTCCCACACACAGGCCATCATTGGCTTATGTGGGCTTTATATTGTATTATTTTCAAACAAAGCAAATAAAGATGGTTTTTGTATTGTATTGTATTGTATCTTGAAATCACAGCCATTGCATCAACTGTCTCTGGACAGCAGGAAACTGGACTTACGCTGGCCGCCTTTTGCCGAACTACTTGTGTCAACCGCAGTTTTTCGAAGAGCCAGTAGCGAGCTTGGTTTATGTCACTACATTTATATTTACAATATTTACAAATGGTTGTTAGTTGCAGTGCAGAAGCCGGCCATCGTAGAACGTCCTAGCACCACGTCACCCCGAATCTCGGTCCCTCGTGGCACCCGTCACGAATCGCGTGGCGCCGAAACACACCGCTCTCGCTGTCGTTCCTGTTGTACTTCTAGCTCGGGGGCTACAGGTGCCCCCCCCCCCCCTTGGACAAGTGGCTGTGGCCACTTGAGTGAAGTTTCTTTGGTGCTCTGGGGGTATTGGTGCGTTATCCTGATGCTTGGACGTTGGTGAATCGAAGGGGGGAAAAGAAAGCCGGTTTGAGTCTGTCGATTGTTACGGTTTCGCGTTTACCTCGAAGAAACAGGGTATAGTATTTTGGTGATTTTTCCAGGACAGGAAATGGTCCATCGCACAGGTTTTGCAGAGTCTTCCGCGGTGCGTCCTTTCTGATGAAAACGTGTGTAGCCTCAGTCAGTGCAGGATGTTGGAAAACCTTAGGTTGCGTTTCTTGGCGTGAAGGAACTGGGCGAAACATTCACATTGCTTGCCTTAACTTGTGGGCGTAGGATGCGGGATCCACGCTATATGGTGTGATAGGCGGCTCGATCATGTCCGCAGGCAGGCGTAGCGGAGTACCGTAGACGAGATCAGCCAGCGTGCTCCCTAGGTCAGGTTTGAGCGTTGAACGCAACCCAAGCAGCACAATGGGCAAGTTGTCGACCCAAGCATCGGGAGACGACTGCGTGCGAAGTGCTGATTTTAGCTGCCTATGAAGGCGTTCCACGAGACCGTTTGCTGCAGGATGGTAAGCTGTTGTGCGCGTACGGGAGCAGCCGAGAAGGGATGTGAGTTGACGAAATAGAGCGGACTCAAATCGCCACCCTCTATCGGTCGTCACCGTGAAAGGTACTCCGAAACGGTTTACCCAGGTAAATAGAAAAGCTCTGGCGGCCATCTCGGCCGTTATGTTCTCGAGTGGGCACTCTAAAAAAAAAAGGTGTCGATTTAACTCTTTTTGGAGTGTAACTGGCTTGTCACAGAATCCACTCTTTTAAAGAGTAACTATAACTCTTCGGAGGCAAGTGTATGTTTAACTCTTCCATACAAGTGTTCATTTAACTCTTCTATAGAGAGTCACGCCAATACCTTTGAGAGAGTCAGGGCTACTCTTTTGATTTGTAAGTGTAAGTGTTACCTTCACTCCTTTGTGTAGAGTAACTATAACTCCATGACAAGTGTTGCCTAAACTCTTTGATGAGAGTAAATTTCACTTTTTTGTGTAGAGTGACTATAACTCTATCAGAAGTGTTGCCGAAACTCCTTGTTGACGAGTGAAGGATACTCTCCAGGAAGGGTTACCTTCATTCCTTCGTGTAGGGTAACTACAACTCTATTACAATGTTGCCTGAACTCTGTATTCAAGAGTTACGCGTACTCGCCAGGAAGAGTTACCCTCACTCCATCGTGTAGAGTAGCCACAACTCTATTAGAAGTGTTGCCTAAACTCTGTATGCAAGAGTTAAACATGTTCTCCGCGAAGAGTTGAATCCACTCTGTGGAGAGTAATGACAACTCCATTAGAAGTGTTGCCTGAACTCTATATTTAAGAGTTAAGCACGCTCTCCAGGAAGGGTAGCTTTAACCTTATTGTGGAGTAAATACAACTCCATTTGAATTGTACCTTGAGTCCGTATTAAAGAGTTAACTCTGCTCTCTACCAAGAGTTAATGTCACATAGCAGCACACTTGAGCAGTTTGTATGACCCCTCCTTAGATAGTACTTAACTCTTTAATACAGAGTTTAGGCAACACTTGAATGGGACTGTAATTACTCTACAGAAATAATTGTGTACAGTAAGTACAGACCCATCTGATGTGTTCCCTAAACTCTGTATAAAAGAATTAGCACCCTCTTCAGGAAACCCTAAAATCTAAAAGCAGCTATGTACATGTTCACAAGGAGATGGGTGCAAAGGAAATGTGGAACTGCAGCTGAAAAATGACAAAATATAAAGCATGAGCCTGCACAGAGGCTATAAGTTCTCATAAAAAGTCACCACTGAAATAAAACAGTAGAATAGATTTTAATAAACCAAAATTTTAATTTCAGCACATGGCAAAAAAGGCAAAACCAACACACAAATTTCCTCTGGCTAACAGTTTTTTTTTTAACTTCGTGATCAAGTCTAAAGCCAAGACGGACTTTATTTGTACTTCAAACTAATGAAGTGCCCAATCACTGCGAGTGACTGGCTTGCTTTTTGACGGTAAGAAATGTCGTCGACTCCGTGCGATGCAAGAACGAGCGCTGCACCAGCCCGTCACCTCAAAGGAGGGGTCCTCCAACACCACAGTTATGGCACTTGAGTCCTCTTCGTCAATTCTCGTCACCGGATAGGTCGATCGGCCGTGTCCCTCCTCCTGTGAAGAATGAATGCTTAAATTCAGAGTCAGCAATATTAAAAGAGAGTAAACAGCTCGCGAAGTGCTTTTAGTTAATACCAGTGCACTCATTTGCGAGACAATAGACCATTTTCCAAAAACCCAGGAGCCATTCATAGGATGCGCTCCAATAATTGGCTGGGGCTCGCTTTCTTGCCGATTGAATAAGAGTCCCAACCGAACACTAAGGCAGCACTGATTGCTAGCTCGCTCAGCCGCAAAAATCCAAAACCGTTCGTATCCCCTGCTATGAACACCTAAGAGAAAGATAAACCACACCCCTCGCTCTCTCTCTAATTGTTTCCTTTGTATGCAATAGCAGTCATAAGAGGTTGCATTCATTTGTGGTATCCTCAAGTTTGCACCCCATCAGAAAAAGGGGGCAAGGAGAGAAGGCAGTTCCCCTCCCCCTTCTCCCTGACTTTTGGAACAATTATAACAGGCAATATGGGAGTGAGGGACAGAGTTTAGCTTCCTTGCACATCACTCCTCCACCTTCCAAACAGTAGCAAATCAGCTGGCCTCTGCCCATAGCGGTGCAAGACATAGCTTTATTATATAGACACTAGACTGAGGGGTAGGACAAATGCAATTTCTTAACATCTGCATTTGTCCAAGTGGCATACAATATGTTAGGAACATTTTTATAGATAAATTAGTGTAAACAACGTATTGCGTTTAAGTGCGGACTGCCATATATTATAGTTCATTTCACAACTTTAGAAAGGAAGCTAACGAATGCAAGTAACATCTAAGTTTGGGGAGACCAATCATTAAATATTGTAACTACAGCTCTACAAGGGGATAATTCGCCATAAAGTACCATTGAACCTTAATAAAGAAAAAGTTGTACCTACTAAAATTCACGAATTCTAAACAAAACAAAACAAGAAGAAAAAGAAATTTAAAAGTAGGCCATACCAAGAACATACAAATTAAGATTGGCGAGTATTAAAATAACTGATAAATATGCTACATGTCAAAACAGAACATGCACCGCGGCGAGCTTAAGTTCTACCACAACCGACACTACTAGAAAGTCAGCGAGCTGCTCATGTGTGCCAATTCATCGTGCTGCTGCGCAATAGATGTGGGCTCTATGTTTTTTATTGCATGCGGATGAACTGGTTGCACCACTCTGAATGCAGGGGCAGGCACATGCATTGAAAGGTCGAATTTGGAGCTCTTTTTTTTTCCACATAGTAGAAAGGTTAATCTATAAATTGCTTAGTCCTACTCTGGCAGCATCACAGCGTCTCTCAATCCTTCATCTAAACTTAAAACATGTTTATTGCAATCTCGACATTTAAGTTCACACCTATATTTCTACGTTGATTTGAAAGAAAAAAAGAAACAGTTTTAAGGAATTGCGGTGTTTGCGGCGCAGAAATACGTAGTTATAAATGTACGCATATTGGGGGGGGGGGGAGGGGGGGGGCCCTCTATATTATTTACAAGTTATAAATCAAATCGCTGGCCTCCCCTTCAGCTCACCAGTGTCAAATGTACTTTTAAATTATCAGTCCAATAAATACCCTGTTATACAAACAAAATATGACAGTTCAACGGAACATGATGCTTCAATCAATAAATCACTCACGTAAAAAAAAAAAAAAAAAAAAAAAAAAACTTGTCAAGTAAAGACGATTACTGGCAAATACGCTCGCATAGCGCAGTGACATAGCTGACACTCCACAACCACCCGACTAGCTGAATCTTGGCAAAGAAGGACTACTCAACGCCCCGTGCAATTCGGCTTTGGACATACTGGGAGGACTTTACTACAGCACACATCTACCTTCAAGAAGACAGCCATATTTTAACAGAAAAAAATGAACTAAATGACTTCAAACACGAAAATACCCAATCAGAACGCCTCTCACAGACTATTGGAATAAAAAGCATTTACAAATAACGCTGCACCGGACCTTTCAGGCCGATCGCTGTGGACTACACGCGGGATTCGTCGGAGACTCCCGGCCCAGAGTTAGACACGGGTCAAACGGATCGGATCATGACAAAACGTACATTACGTAGCAAGAACACATGTCCCCGATGATCAAGAAGAAGGAGAGGATCCTCTCATTGTCACTCACGTGCAAAAGAAAGTGGTCCGTCGTGTCTTCGGTTCGTCGAAGCTGGTGGTGACATGTATGGCCACAACAAAGGAAGATCACAGGTGTGTAGGCGCTGCCGAGAGAATATCCAAGGTCTTGACATTCCGCATGTTGAAGATCGCTCTTGGCAATAAACCATCGTTCTTATCGGTTCCAGTTGGGGAAGCGTGGATAAAAGAGATGCCGAGCCGGTTCACCCGATAAAAAAAATATAAAAAATAAACGTCCGCTAAGCAATCAAATGAACCTAAACAACTTAAAGGGGTCATGAAACGCTTTTCCAACTTTTTCCTCTTTAGCTTTCCTCCTCAACTCATAAATCGCGCATTCCACCAAACAGTTAAAGAAGACGAAAAGGGGGTGTCCCCTCTTGCTCGCACTCTCGTTTGCGTAATCCCGGACACATCCATTCTCCCCCTAGAAGATTAGCCCGTCGCTCAAAATTCAGACAAAAGTTGCTTTCCCCACCCCGTTCATTCCGAAGCTGACAGTGCTGTTGAAGCTACGTGCTCGTTGGGCCAGCCACACTTGCTACGTGAGCGTGGCAAATGTGGCTGCAGAGAATGATGTCAGGTGATGAAAGGGAGGCGGCTGATTGGTCCGGCAAGCGCGTAGCTTCCACCACAATGTCAGCATAGGGGTGAAGGGAATAAGTGAGGTCCGGTTGCGTGTGACGTCAGTTTGGACCCGATGACACGCTTTTGGGACCGCGGATGTATCACAGTGAAAAGGCAGAGAGGTTGCGAAGGGGAGGAGGTACGAAATAGTCCGCTCTGTTTTCAAATTTTCGCTCTGAAAGTCAGGCTTTTGACTTTCTACCTTTTTTCTTTTGGTCCAGTGAACGATGTGCTATTAGAAAAATCCCAATCTAAAATGATTTATCCAAACCCAAAAATCGTTTCATGGGCCCTTTAAGAAACTGACACCACGGTGTCCTGATATGAGCATGTTCATCTTGCCATTCTTGAAAAGAGCTATCTCTGCCGGAAGAAAAACTCCATAAATTGCGAAGCGCCTCTGCCCCTTTCCAGTTCGCGGATGCGCGTGTTGGACATTGAGGGGACCGTCCCCACCGTCGTCCAGTCCCTACCTTATCGTTAGGCCTTGGTTCACGCGACTCCACTTTCTGTGAGTGTGTGTGTGCGCG